TATATATATATATATATACAGATCTATAATAAAGTGATAATATGCAATGTGCAAAAGAAAGCAAAAAAATAAATAAATACACTTCAAGTAATTAATAATATATACAATAATTTATACAATATTATAATAAGCAGATGACGATAGAGCCTTTTATAATCAATGTCTATTTACATCATAGGGTGAAAAAGTGCAGTAGAAAATGATACAAACAGTAGATGAATAAATAGAAAATAAATCAAGAAAATAATTTTGTGTTTGTTGACTAAAGTATTAGCTATAGTAATAGTAGCAAGTTATATTGTACAATGAGGTCATTTTTTTTTTTTTTTTACAGTGTCTTGTTGTATGATTATAATAAGGGGAACTACAGTCAAATGGTTGAAGGAGTTTATTTCATGTACACTACTTGGCACTAGGGTTCTGAGGGCCCAGACAACAATAGCTGGCCTTCAACCTGGTTTTCCTGTTTTTATAAACACTTGGAAGGTAAAGGCCACTGTTGGAGACACACTCTCGTTTTTAACACTCAAGAGTGCTCTGGTAGTAAGGCACCATCAGTTTGCAGCTGCCTTTCAGCGGAGACTCTGAAAAACAAAACAAATCCCAGATTCAGACTCAGGTGATGTAGTCAACTGCTAACCAGGAAGTATGGTGTTTAACGCGGAATCAGTTATCTTGTCTCTGCTTGTTACCTGGCCTCATATGAAGTTACCGTTGCTGAGTTGTTGTTTTTTTTGTTTGTTTTTTTCTTTTCTTCTTTTTTTTGTGTTTGCATTCAACAAAAAAGTCAGCATTTTGTTTTCCAACTATCTTCCTGAAATAGGTGGTTTAAATGTCAGCTCTTGGACCAGTTCTCAACCACGTGGTAGCAGCGTCATGCTGTGGATACGTTTGAATACCATCATGGTCATATAACATTTTAAAATACTTTCTTATCCCAGCAGGTGATGGCAGAGGCCAAACCATGGGGTCTAATCTCAGAGGTGGGGGATGAAGGTTTTCAAGAGAGTGTCATCGACATTATTGAAAAGCATTTCCACATCATCTGCCTTAAGGAATTTTTTAAAAACCCCATGCTGCATGGCCCTAAAATCCAGGCCCTGCTTATGTGGAACTGCAGCCCTGCAGCCGAGCCTTCCCTGCTGAGCTGTCTGCCTTCGCTGAAGGTGGTCGCCAATGGAGGTGTGGGTATAGATCACCTAGATGTGCCGTACCTTAACAGCCTCGGTGTGAAGGTGGCCAACACTCCCGGTGTGGTGAGCGACGCCACTGCAGATATGGCCATGGCTCTCCTTCTGGCTTCAGCACGGATGGTAGTGGAGGGTGAGACCAATTGGGATAAAACTGTGACATTATCTTAAATACCCTAACCCCTTAAAAATATTTTCACCGGTTACTATACTTGCTTCTTTATAGCTCACTTCAGTTCTAGAAGGATACTTAGATCATCAAGAGTTTTAAATATTGCTAATTCTTTTTTTATTGACTAGTTTTGGTTTTAACATCAGTCTATATAACAAAAAAATACATATTTATAATAAGATAATAAAAAAAAGAGACAATACAGTCAGATTGGTTAAAAGTTGATTGTATCGAGTTACTGACTTGCAAGACATCCTCCTCCTGGATGAGTTGGTGGCCACGATATTGGTTTGGATTTTGTGGTTGACTTCACAATCCCTAACAATGAGCACACATGCGGCGACAGTGGAGAGGAATAATTCCCCTTTAACAAGAAGGAAACCTCCAGCAAAACCAGGCTCACCATGACCGGCCTGCTGCTAAGGGCGACTTTGGGTTCAAGGAGATAGAGGCATACATACAAAATGAAGCTTATATAAAAAAGCTAACTGTTAACTAGCTTCACAGGTAGCCACATCCAGGAAATCCCCATGTCAGAGGGTGAAAGAGAGCACATACAGTTAGTCACAGTAAGATTTTGGATGGCAGCAGCACCGCAGATGTTTCAGTTCAGGATGGTGTCACAATCCGAGAGGAAACAGTCCAGATAGAGCTACTATTACACGATAAAGCTAAGGAAACATAAAATTATATGTGAAGCTAACAAATACTGCAGAATGGGAGAATAGAGATAGAGTAAAGCAGAATGAGCAAAATGGTTGCTAGGTCCTCCAGCAGCCTAAAGATACTGTATAGCAGCAAAAACTTAGTCGGATGGCCTAACTATTCTGAATCAGGTATGAGAAAGGTGGAGCTAAAGAGAAACACCTGTCCAGACTGATTAGTTTGACTAAATTGATTAGAAGCCCCAAATTTAACAGGGATTTGCCTCAATTGTATGTGGGTGTAAAATTCTGACCAAAACTTTCTGTTAGCCTCTCCTTAGTGCTTGTCTCCCTTGTCCTTTTAGGCCACCTAATATCAGTCGATCCTAAAACCACCCATGTGCCTCAAAGCCTTTTGGGAGTTGAGGTCACAGGGTCAACTTTAGGGATCATTGGAATGGGAAACATTGGATATAAAGTTGCTCAGAGAAGCAAAGGTTTCGACATGAGGATTCTTTACCACAACAGAAACAGAAGGTAAGTGTTTCAACTGAAATAACATGTCTCCCCAAGTAAGAGAGAGGGATCACGTGGTAAGATTCCTGTTTTTCTAGGAGTGTTGAAGATGAGCAGGCAGTTGGAGCTAGTTACTGTGAGAAACTTGATGACCTGTTGAAAGAGTCCGACTTCGTGGTGGTGGTGGTGAACCTGACCCCTGACACCACTGGTCTTATCAGCCATAGAGAGCTGTCACTCATGAAACCCACAGCAACACTCGTAAACGTCAGCAGAGGTATCAGGAAAGCTCTTTTTTTTCATTGAGTTTTATTCAAAAGCCCTTTTTTTATTAAATTATTAAATGTTTCAGGTCTGGTTGTGGATCAGGACGCTCTGGCCAAAGCTCTGAAGTCTGGAACCATCCGAGCTGCAGCCTTAGACGTGACTCACCCTGAACCTTTACCCAGGTATGCTCTCAGACACACCATCTTCTTTTGCTTACGCATAAGTGTTAATTTCTGTATTACAAACAGTTGATTAAAATGTGCAAATATTAACATCGAATCTCAATTTGTGCAGGGATCATCCTCTCCTCAGCCTTCCTAATGTGCTGATAACACCCCATATTGGGACAAACACTAATGCAACAATAAGAAAGATGGTGCAGCTGATGGTAGACAATGCTTTGGCAGGAGTGAAAGGCCTACCTCTTCCCAGTGAAGTCAAACCAAAATAAAGTTTTCTTCTGTCGACAAGGTCAAGAGCATTATTTTGTTTGTGCCTATTATTTACAACTTTCATACTTAAACATCAATTCTTGTAAAGTTTGAGCTACAACCACAACATGCTGTTAGTTTAAGCCTTGTTGTTTCCAGTTTTTCCATTTTATTTTTTTATTGTCATTACACTGTCACAATTACAGAACAATGAAATGCATTTAATCCATCCCCTTAGGGAGCAGTGGGCTGCCATTGTGTGACACCCGGGGAGCAGTGTGGGGGTTAAGGGTCTTTCCTCAGAGAGCCAGAGTGGTAATCTGTGGGATTGGGGCTCGAATTCAGAACCTCAGGATTCCAAGCTCCATACCCTAACCACCAGCCCATCACTACCCTAAAAAAACCAGGGAGAATAGCAGAGCAGATACAGTAATTTTGCTATATTTCCTTATAATTCAAAAGTTAATTTTTATTTTATATATATAAAAAACCTAATTGTAATGTTTTAATGCATAGCATTTTGCCTGCAATGTGAATTTAGTGTATCTACAATTATTGATATGGTGTTCCAAGTTTTGTTAGATTAAAACCATTGTTAAATATAACATTTCTTTCTTTGTGTCTTGTTTTTGTCACAGGACAAGGGATATAGCAGCATCTTAAAGTTTTTTTAATTATTTAAATAAAGCTTTATTTTTTATTTGGAAAACAAGTTAATTTAAAATGTTATCATTATGTAAGGTTTCAAAAAAGAACAGCAACAGCCACTTATGGGATGGAAAAATGTTGTGATTTTTATTTCTCTTTCTAACATTTAAATTTAGACTATAATGTAATGAATTGTTTTTAATTAAAAAACAAACAAAAAAATTACTCTATATACACCACTTAAGTCATAAATAAATTGTATCTGCACATGTAGAGTAACTGATGTTACTCATAACAAAGGCAAATCAATTTGTTTTAAGGAAAATTGTATTTTACAAAATGTCCATATAGAGCTTGAAACCACATGTCTGTTTAGATCTATTCACTCAGTTATGAAGCTTAATACCTTTGTTTCAATATGTTTGCATTTTTCTCCCAATAAAGTGGGTCACAGCAGTGGGGTAATTAAAAAGCTTAATTTGACATTATAAAATAAATGTTTATATTTCTGAAATAGTCAGTGTTCTTAATATGTCCCTGCTTCATAGATCTTCAAGAAAGAGCTCAGAGGAAGTTAAGTGTTAAGGGGACAGCTACTTTCGAGTATATTTAATAATATTGAGTCAGCATTGTTTCAATGTCATTTATATCATAAATTTCATAGTTTATAGATTTTAGCATTTTTGAATGGTAGAAAATCATATTTTAAACTCAAAATACAGCCCTTGCCCTTCATAACTGAGTGTGGGGACAAAAACTTTTGTGGTGGTTTGGGTTCTAAATAATGTATTAAAAAGCAAATACGATTAAGTTGATGAAACCAACTTGTTTGAAAGTACAAATAATATGTATTTTAAGAATAAAATATGAAAATAATTTTATCTTTTAATATTTCTGGATTTTTTTTATTTATGGAAGGGTTCATGGGTTCATAAACCTTGATAAAAATTTCCTAGATCCATCTGAAAAAGGTAACTCCAGAGCATGATTCAGCCACCTCCATGTTGTAATGTGGAAATGGTGCTTGGTGAATATCGCTTGGTTATGCATTGCATTCATTTCGTTTAGAATTCTTAAGGCTTGCTTTGACAGAAATTGTGTGTTGTTGTTTTTTTTTTTTTTTTTTATAACCAAACATATCAGTCTTAATGAATTGTAAACAAAACACAGAAGATTTTTATTACATTTTAATTTCCAGCAGCACTTGTTGGATTTTCTCAGTTTTAAGTGTTGCTGTTAATCTGTTTATTTGCAGCCCAGTTGATCTGCTTGCCTCTGTCAAATATGAAGGAACAATTGGTATAACTGACTTAGACAAACTTTATCATCAGTTTGTATAGTGGTTGTTCTGCTTTTTCTGCTTTATTCACGCTTCGTTTGCCTAGACGGCTGAAAAATGATGTGTGGATTCACCATTTGTAATGTTTTTTTGTTTTTCCTGGTAATTTATAATTAATACAATGGCGTATTAGGGCCATTTCTCTCCATTCAACGAGGGGGAAAAAAAATTATTAAAATTTAAAGTGGCATATTTACGAGAATAAACAGGCAAATTTACCAGTAAAAACACCAAAGTGTATGAAATTATAAACATGCAAATTTAGAAGGAAACAAGTAGTAAATGTACTATAATAAACAGGCACATATACAGGGAAAAAAACATGCAAATTGAGTTCATAAGGATGCTATTTTAAAATGGATAAAGTAGAAAACTTCCAAGAAAGAAACCTGCACATTGAGACGATGAAAATGCAAATTTAGAGGGGAAATGTAGCCAATTTACGCGAATAAATGTTTTCATTTTAGAGGAAAAAACGTGCATATCAACATGATTATGAACATGCAAATCTATTGGATCATTAACTGCTACTTTAAAAAAGTTCTTCTTCTTCTTCTAGAATGGAGTGTGGATTGGGATGCTATATATAAATGCTCCCACAAAATAAAAAATAAATAAAACAAAATTATAATAACTAACTTTAAAAACTTTAATTCTATTGTGAACACCAAACACAGCCTCTGGTTAAAAAAAAAAGAAAAGAAAAGAAAGAACCGGTTGATATTAAGCTTATTGGTCAACTGATAAAAAATAAAGAAGCAACACACTTTTTCGACGATAATTCAGCTGTTGTTGTTGAGAAAAGTTTTAATTTTGTTGCCTTTACTTCAGGCATTTGAAGGTCTCCCTCTACGTCATCATTAATCGACGGAGAGTTGGCTTCTAAAAGGACCATAACATCTAGCAGGCATGAAGCTTGAATTGAAACTTGCTCAGAAACAATAGTTTTTCTTCTTCAGCTACATTAAAAACCCATTGTTTCTGTTTAACTCTCAAATTTTGTGTGTTTTTCGACCAAGGACCGCCATGTTTATCTCTTCACAAAACTCCCCGGCTGCCTTCAAAGGTTTTACCCTCGTCATGGTGAGTTTGACCGCTTTAATCCTCTGCAGGGGCTTCTCATAACTTCAACATATGTTTGTATTGTTGAATCTAGATCCACAAGAAGAGGAAAGCTTTATTTCTTTATCTAGCCAATTAAAGTATAATTTGAAGTAATAACATACTTCTTGGCGGGGATAACAAAAGTGAAACCAGGTAAATATGTGGGCTAAAGCAGTAAGATAATACTATTATCCACAGTGAAGTGAGACTTGCATGGTCATATTCTAAAAGGAAACTAAGGAAAAAAAGAAGCTATTATTTAAAATTATATATGAAAACCAGATTAAAGTTTGTTGCAGATGTTGGGCTGATGAAAGTAAAATTTAACCTCAGTTTTATTTTATCATAGGGGCAAACTTTCACTTCTTGCTACTTGCAGTATTTTCCTTGCTTTTCCTTTTTTAAAGTTTAAGTTAAGGGTAGTTTTGTATCCAAAAGAAAATTACGGAAATGCAGTATTTATGTTTGAATTTAAGCATATTTCGGTAGCGTTTCTGATTCTTCTTAATTTGCTTTCTCTTCTTCACTGAACTAGAAACAAAATAAAACTGAAAACATGTTTGTTTACATAAGGCATCTGCTATATAAAGTTTTATGGGAATTAACCCAGTGGTTACTGTTACAAATCAAAATCTTATGATGGATAAATCTGATAATATTATCAGAAAACAGCTGCCTCACTCTAAGAATTAGATTTTGTAAGACACTTAACCATTTCCTATTTTTGATGGTACAAAAATAGTTCTATATTAAAAAAGTATTTTTTTATGATTGCTGGAGGTTTCTTCCTGTTAAATGGAAGTTTTTCCTCTCCACTGTCGCTACAAGCATGCTTAATGTGAGGGATTGCATCCGAGTTAATGAGTTGATGCAATCAACTGGTTTTCCGTAGATAGAAAACTTTGAATCAGTTTGACTGTATGATCTGGTGAACTGTAAAGTCCTTGAGACGACATGTGTTGTGAATTGGCGCTATATAAATAAACTGAATTGAACTGAATTGAATGATTGCATGGAACAAATGGTAGAAAAATTGGTGAAACAACATAACTAACAACATCAGAATTCATTTTTATCCCTGGGTGACATTACACATTTGTACACATACATTTTTTCATAATAAGAATAAGCTGTAACAGCTGATCTCCAACTTTACCAACATTTACTTTAATTTATTTGCAATTCAAAAGAAAGCATGTTTAGTGTTGCTTGCCTATAAAATGGATGGGAAATGAAGAGAGCACAGGGCATTGTGGGATATCATCTAACAGATCTGGACTTAGTTTATGATTAAATGAGTCCAGAAAGGTGCATCGCTGCAAATCAAACCCATCTAGGTAATGTACTGTTTGTGCTTTTCATCAGGAATATAGTTCAGGAACATTACATAAAAAAAAAAAATTGACTCAGGAAGTTTCTTTGCAAAAAACATCCTACAAGCAGACACTAAACATTCATGTTAAAAAAAAAAAAAAAAAAAAAAAAAAAAAAGATCACAAAAACCTCCAGGCCATTTATTGGGTCTTTGATTTCAACGTAACCTGTGGTTTATGAGAGAAACAAAAGCCACCTTCCTTGTCTTATTTTTACATTTTGAAGTCTTCTCTAAGTATGCTCTCTTTATTTCTCTATATATTTATCAAATAATTTCGGGAGCCGATGAATCAGAACTAGCGTCATCGTAACATAATGACGGTTATTCTGGAAAAAAGGACATTTTTGTGTTGGATTTTGAAAGAGGACTTAATTGCTATTTATGAGGTTATAAGTATAGGTTTATAGAAGTAAACACATTCCTTCCGAAACTGGTTTCCTTTTATTTAAGAGATGTTCTTCTGACTGAGTCAGACTGCCCGTTCCTGTAGTGTTTTTTTTGTTTTTGTTTTTTTTTACACTCAGTTAATTGCTTAACATTTTAAATTTCATTTTTAATTGCTCAAGACTATCAAGTACATCTTAACTTGCTTAGATTCCTGGAATTAGAAGTAACAATGGTTTGGAATTACAGACATTATTGAGCTCTGAGTAAACTTAATTGTTTTCTTTTTCAAGGTTTAAAACACAGTTTTACATTTCTTATGGGTTTGGCTTAGTTTTTCAAACATTGGGTTTTTAAAAACATTTTTGTTCATTGCCCCAACAGCCTGCAGTGGCCGTGGGTAACGTGGGTCAGCTGGCCGTCGACCTCATTGTGTCCACTCTCAACATGAGCAGAGTGGGCTACTTCCACACAGACTGCCTCATCCCGATGGCTGGGAACAACCCGTACGCCAGCGGCAAAGAGGATGCTGAGGAGCTGCACACTCCTGCAGAAGGTAGTACCAGATCTCTGGTAGACATCATTTGGAATCCACTGGATTGTAGATACTGTCACAACAGCAGATTTGTCAGACTTGGCAATGGAGGTTAAGTGTAACATGAACAGATTTTTCCACTGATGTTCACCATCATGCTCTACATATTAGTATTTTATTTTGATGTTGAAAAATTTTTTTTTTAATATCTCTGTTATTATAAGAGTTAAATGTGTCTGCTGTATAAATGGTTGTTGTTTTTGACCATTAATCCTGCCTGCATGTTTTAAATCTGTTAACTGTCTTTTATCCAGTTTACACAGAAGCAGAGCTGAAACTGGCAGTTCTTCAGATCAGAGCACCAATCATTCAGGTACATACTCGGCACTGTGTTTAGTCTTTTTATGTGGATCTTCTGAACTCATCTAATAAGTAAGTCCTATAATGTCTCCTAAATTGATAATGTTGAGGATATTAGCTGACGTCACATTTGTTGTTGTGAATTACTGCTGGAACAAAAAGAATGTTCAACAAACTCGTAGCTTCCAAGGTCATCATAGAGTTATTCAAATGTTTTATCAATATACAGTGGGGCCAAAAAGTATTTAGTCAGTCACTGGTTGTGCAATTTTTCCTACTTATAATAATGAGAGGGGTCTGTAATTTTCAATATAATTACAATTCAAATATGAGAGACAAAATGAGGGGGAAAAAAATAAATCGAGGGAATCACATTGTAGGATTTTTAAAGAATTTATTTGTAAATTATGGTGAAAAACAAGTATTTGGTCACCCACAAACCAGCGAGATTTCTGCCTCTCACAGACCTGCAACTTCTTCTTTAAGAAGTTCTTCTGTCCTCCACTCATTACCTGTTTGAACCCCTTATCTGTAGAAAAGACACCTGTCAAATGCCTCAAACAGTCACACTCCAAACTCAACCATGGCCATGTCCAAAGAACTGTTGAAGGAAACCAGGACGAAAATAGTAGACGTGCACCAGACTGGGAAGAGTGAATCTACCGTAAGCAAGCAGCTTGGTGTGAAAAACTCAACTGTGGGGGCGATTCTAAGAAAATGGAAGACATACAGGACCACTGATAATCTCATACGGTTGGGTCAAAATGATCATAAGAACAGTAAACAAAAAAATCCCAGAACTACACTGAGGGTCCTGATGAATGACCTGCAGAGACCTGAGAACAAAGTAACAAAGGCCACCATAAGCAACACACTACGCCCAGAGGGACTCCAATCCTGCAGTGCCATATGTGTCCCCCTGCTCAAGCCAGTACATGTCCAGGCCCGCCTGAAGTTTGCCAGAGAGCATATGATGATCCAGAAGAGGATTGGGAGGATATCATGTGGTCAGATGAAACCAAAATAATAAAAACCCAACTCGTTGTGTTTGGTGGAAGAAGAATCAGAGTTAAGTCCAAGAACACCATACCTACTGTGAAGCACTGGGGAGGAAACACCATGCAAAAGGGACAGGAAAACTGATCTGTGTTAAGGGGAGAATGAACAGGGCCATATATCGTGAGATTTTAAGCCAAAACCTCCTATCAGTGAGAGTGTTAAAGATGAAACGTGGCTGGATCTTCCATTATAACAATTATCAAACACACCTCCCGGGTAACGAAGGAGTGGCTCTGTAAAAAGCATCTCCAGACCTCAAACCCATAGAAAATTTGTGGAGGGAGGTGAAAGTCTGTGTTGCCCAGCGACAGACAAGAAATATCACTGCTCTAGAGGAGATCTGCAATGAGGAATGGGCCAAAATACCAGCTACAGTGTGTGCAAACCTGGTGAAGTCTTACAGGAAACGTTTGACCTCTCTCATTGCCAACAAAGGTTATGTTACAAAATATTGAGTTGAACTTTAGTTATTGAGCAAATACTTATTTTCCACCATAATTTACAAATAAATTCTTTAAAAATCCTACAATGTGATTACCTTGATTTTTTTATTTTTATTTTTTTAATATATATTTCTCATTTTGTCTCTCATAGTTGAATTTAACCTATGAATCTCTCATTAAGTAGGAACACGTGTACATTCAAAGCTGACTAAATACTTATTGGCCCCACTGTACAGACAATGTTTAGATTGTGTGTCTGGGTTGGTCAAGGTCAGGCTTCAAGCATAAAAACTCTTCAATAACAGTAAGACAGTATGTGACAGCATTTTGTTCACTGCTCTAAACTTTGTTCTAACTGCAGACAAGGACTAAAAGGTTTCGTCAGCAGCTGGTATCATGGATCAAAGCCAGCGGTTTCTCCAGGACGGTGGTTCTGTCCAGCAGCCATGCCTACCAGAGGGACGATCAGCAGCTGCAAGGGTAAAGAAATAAGTAATAATGTGTTTCTTTGCTGAAGTTATTTACATTCATGGCTGAAATCCCAAATTGGCTGTGGCAGGACTCCTCTTAGGTACCTGGTCACTCCGTCCCTGCTGACGGCGAGTGCAGATGCTTTTAAGGAGTTAAGCTGGAAGGAGATGGAGCGAATACCTGCATTTCCTGGAGTAAAGGATGCAGATGCAGAGCCAAGACTCTGCATCCCCGGAGGAGGCATCACCAAAGGACTTTACACAGACAGGTAGAGAAACAAGATCAATAAGACAAAATGAGAGCAGCTTTAGAAAACAACCAGTGAAGTGAAAATAGATGGGTTTATTTTAGAAGCTTTTTCACAAATAACATTAAGAGCGTGCCCCTTTTAACTCTGATACCCCTAAATAACATCAAGGGAAACTGAATGCCTTTTTAAATAAAATTTCTCAATCTGTTCGTGTAATATGCTCTCAATAAAAGCAGCTGTTCTGTAATTGTTGTGAAAATGTTATCATGAGAACCAAGGAGCCTAGCAAACAGCAAGACTCTATAGCCATGTTTTGAATATTTTGGATTAAATAGAACAAATCTGGCCTTTTTGGACAAGATGGAGGGGGAAAAAAGGTTTTGGTTTAAAAGAATACATTTAAGGGATTCAACAAAGGCTAGCTTCACACTGCAGCCTGAAGTGACCCAAATTTGATTTTTTTCTGATGCGACCCAGGCCATTTGGCTATGTGGTCCTGAAGCCGATACGAATCTGATCTTTTCAAATGTGACCTGTGTCTGAACGGCCAGGTCGCATTCATCTGACCTGAATGTCATTAATACCCGACAAAGGTCACTATTCTGCTTCTTGCTACGCAGAAGTGGCAAGAAAAACAACAACAATGGTGGACAATAATGCGGAGAGTAGTGTTAATGTTTAACTATCTTGGAAAGATGGAGTTTTTTAAGGTTGGGAAAGATCGCTAGATGTTCGTCAGCACTACCATCCATGTTTTTACTTCCGTAAACACAGAGCAAAGATAAGTGTTTGCAGCCTCATGCTGTGGGAACACAGCAGATGCATTATAGCTGTCAGAGGAAAAAGGGACAATAGATTTATTTACATACAGGGCAAAACTAAATAAGAACCTGCCAGAGCTACTTATTCTAAAATGTCCTAATCAAAGTCTAGACTTGAAAGTAATTTGGAATTTAGCAGGAGTTGAAAAATACGCTATTGAACTGGGTTTGGATTCTTCTATATTGTCTGGATATGCACATCCGTACAACTTTTATTCGTTTATATTTTAGGGGTATCATTTGAAGGGGTAGTCTTACAAATTCGTGCTTTTGGAATACATGTTATACTTTTTTTGCTTTTCTTTTGGTGTATCATAAAAAAAAGTTGTAGAGGGGGTGTTAATGCTTGGGTAATGCACATTGTACCTGATTTAGTTACAGTTAAATCTTGTTCTTTATTAATCATAAAGTCCTATCACATGTTGATTTTTAAATCCATGTTTCTATGCTGTGGTGCTGGATGTGTGTGTAGCTGTGCAGAGAATCTCCCAGTGGCAGTGCTGCTGCTCTTCTGCTCTGAAGGCGACAACATTCCTGATGCGTTCGCTCTGGTCAACCACCTCAATGACTGGCTCCACCTGCTGGACGGTCAGGTAATCCTAATTGAAGACGTTCCTATTAGTGTGGAGGAATAAAACAAAAAAAGAAAAGTTTTTCTAATTGCTCTACTCTCTGTTTTTCAGTGCCAAGAACCAAACAGCAAGTGGAAGATTCCAACTTCCTGGAGTCTGCTGTTTGGAGGCGGTATCCCTCCTGCACTTTTCTGATTGACATTTTTATGCAAAAAGTAGCTTGTAGTAAATATTAAAATGCTATTTCTTTAAAGATGCATACAAATTATAATCAGTTTGAGTCTGGATACCAAATTGACATAAATCTTGATATTTGATGTGCCAATATTATGAGAATTATTCTCAAACAAGCACTTCTGTCACAGTTTCTGAGCATTTGAATATTTTGCAATAAAACTCATGACACTGGTGTGTTTGTTGAATGTGATAAATACCTGATTTCACTCCCCCTTGGCTCTGACCTATTCCCTGTTAACTGAAAGCGCTTGGCCCGCTGCCATCGAGTATTCCAGGCAGTCCAGCCTCCTTTGTAATTCGATCTGCAACTCTTGCTTCAACTGCTGAAATGCCTGCCAAGTCTGCGGTTTTTGTCTGTTTGCATCATTGTATTGGTTGCTGTGTGTGTGTCTTGTTATGGGAAAGGAATATTTTATAGAAAGGTAGGTATAAGGGGAAACCTGTTACATCAACATAAAGGGCTTCAGAAACCCTGAACAAGGCAGTAATAAAGCCTCCAGATGCATTACTTTTTGCTTAAAAGGAAATAAAACAAGAACAGATGCAGATTTATAGGTAAAATACCAGTTTTATTTTGAGTTTACACTCTAAACTTAAGACCATTAATTTCAAAAGAATTCTTGAGTATTCTGCAGCATTAAGATCTGTAACATAAGCTCTTTATTTGACTCTTTACAAGCAAAAAATATCTTTAATACACATCTTTAAAAAAAACAGTACTATTTACATCATTGAAATATTTTCATGCCACTGTATTACTTGTGGGTGGAGGCAGTGCTTGTCTTATACCAAACCCAGCGTCACCTTAAAAACTTCAAGTAGTTTTTTATAAAAAATAGAACCTCTTTTGCCTCTGAAATTTTGTTTTTTTTTACCCCAAAAAATACCTGTATGAACAGCATTACAAATTGGCAATGCGTACTCCATACTTTCAGTCTTATGAGAGGAAACGAAAAGCAAAACGAGAGTAAAAAGCAGCTTTACCAGAGGCTGAGGAGGGGGTTTTAAAGCTCCTGTGTGAATGTCAAAGTGTCTGCTGTAAACAGTTAAGAGGAAAAAGCTGAGGAGGGTTCTGGCCGAGGCTTAAGAGGGGAAGAGTGTCGCTGAAGAACAGCACTTTGCTAGATTAAGACGAGGAGGGAAAAAAATAACATGGAGGAGGAAGAGCTGAGAAGTTTGGAGGGGTAGAGAGCTGGAGTTCCCTGCCGAGGCTGCCTTCGCTGCTAGAGCTGAAGTCAGGTGGAGCTGGTTAGCAGTCATTGGTTTTCACCCTGTCACAAGACACACAAAAAGAAGGGTGAAGGAGTCAGAAAAGTGAGCGCATGTGGGATTTCTATCTTGGTTCACTAATCATGTGAGACGTGCTGTCATATTAGCTAAATCGATGCATTAAATGCAGCATTTCACACTGTTTAAACAGAAGCCAACCAACTGAGCATGTTCAATTCAGACATCTGCGACGGGCACAGAAGAGCTCATCAATGTGAAGGAAATGGACATCTGGTTTTGTATTTCACAATCACAGCTTAAACAGTGACCACCTTTCAGGTAGTTATGCATATATTTACCAAGCAGATGGTCTAATTTACCTGGAACTACCCGGAAACTGCTGTACATGTAGAGCTAACTAACCAGACAGGATCCATTGCAGGATCACCACGATAATCATTTGACCTCAGAAATTTTTTTTTTTAAATCACTTTAGGATTTCTCTCATTGCAGTTTGTCTGAATACAGTTAAAAACTTTTGTGATAAATAGCTTAAACAATCGCAGTGTTGCTTAAAACTACCAATGACTAAAATAAATAGTAAGGGATTAGGCATAGGTCGTGATTGGAGTCCTAAAAAGCTAAAAGAATAATATAATGCTAATTTTAGCTGCAAAATATTCTGAAAATTCAGTAATACCGGTGGCTGATGCATTTTTGTTAATTTATTCCCCCTTCATAAAAAAATATATATCACCCGGGCAGTTGAGTCAATGATTTGCAATGTTATTAAGATTAAATTGAATAATACGCAGCCCTACTTATGCTTTTTTTTTTTTTAATTCATAGCAGGTAAGTGGCTAGGTTCAGACATCCCAGTGTGAACAGGCTTGAATTTCAGTTCAAGGAAATTATAAAAGGCTAATTGTGGTAGAAGAAATTCATTGTGGGTTGACAACAGGGCCATTTTTAGATTTGGTCTGACAGCTTTGTATGTTTCTCAGAGCGTCCTCAGGGTGGACTGCAGCTCATAGTTTGGAGGAAACAGCAAATGAATAAAGACGGACCAAACTCAAGGAAATTTCAGACCTTCTCTGTAAGCTCTGGGTTAAATCTAAGAACACTATTCAAACATTACAGTAAAAGACAGAAATAGTACCGTAAGGCATTCAGTCTATGATACCTGCTGAACTTTGACCTCTACTGAAAATAGCCAAGTCTAGATCTTTCTGCAGCAGCAGCTTCCACCCCGGCTGTGCTTACTACCACATGGTAGCACTGAGGTTCACTGATAATATTTGTTTTGGTAAACTTGTCTAACTTCTTAAAGCATCTTTAGGAAGTCATTCAGTTGAACAAAAACAAAAAAAGGATGAATTTGATTGTAAAGAACATTTATATTCATCCTCTTGGGAGACAAAATATAACTGCTAAAGTAATAAATTCCCAGTTCAATCATTTAAAAGAAATTATCAAAAATCATGATAGGATGACAAGAGGGTTTTTCTGCAAGTTTTTAAACAACTCGTTAATCATTCTGCTCCTTGGATTTTGGTTGGATTTTAACCTACTAAACAAGGTCTCCTACTACCTATGTAGACATCACACAGCAGAGCACTGTTTACAGAAGTAATAGATGTTAGCATCTCTGTGTTACGACAGTATTATGATCACATCATAACAAGACAAAATGTAAAAGAGGGTAGAACTATAAAGTGGTTTTATAGACTTGTGTGTTCAGAGAGCAAAAAAACACTACCAGATATGTCCTAATTTATTGCCATATAAGGAAGGGGAACAAATCAGAAGATCAGAATAGGTGATTTGTCTTAAATATTTACAAGCAAAAGTATTTATTTTTCATTTTAGGGGATGCACTTATATGAAAGACTGCCTCCACCACATGCTATAACCGATATTTGGACACTGAAATGTCAGCCCCAGCCCTGACATCTTTATCACCATCACATGATCAAGTAAACAATGCATGACCAGCCCCCAACAGCCACTGATTGCTTACATTCAGACCAATACTGATGTTTAAAAATTACCATTTAATACAGACGATAATGCTGATATATTATGCACCCCATGATATTCAGACTTGATCAGGGAGCTTATATTATAAAAGTCAACTGGTTCAAACATTGTTAACAAGCAATATATGGCAATAAAGGATGATATAAATAACTCAAATAATTTACAGCTACATCAACTCAAACAAACATACTTTATAACCATTTATCTTCGTGATTCATGAAAAGATTTAACTGCAGCTTAGGCAATGGATAAAGCAGTTGGATATAAAGTGGAAATAAGAGATTGATTATAACATGGCATGCAATGTTGGCTAATAAAAGGAGAATAGTGACTTTCACTAAAAAGTTTAAGAATAGTTTTTTTTTTTTATTATTATACTCTGAACTTCAGAGTTAGGAGCAACAAAAAAAGCAAACATAAGTGTTTGATTTAGAAATCATTTTTAGATAAACTACATTCAGCAGCAGCTGAGCAATACACATTCACTTTTTTAATTACATGAAATTAGTTTGCATAAAAAGCTTAGCCTCACTTAGAGTACTTTTGTGTATCACATTTGCATCCTGACTGTTTAGTTCAGCCTGACATTTCCGTTTTAAAAAGCATTAACCACATGTAAACACAAGTATGCACACACCATGCCAAAGTGCAGCCACAATTAACAACTCCAAACCACAGAATCACACCAACACACACACACACACACACACACACACACACACACCTCCAGGTACACAAGTGGGTGATCTTTTTCCACAAGCTGTGGGTAAAGTTCCTCCTCTAAATGTGCTCCTCGTGGTAGTTTCTGTCTCAGAGGGAAGTAAAGACAGGCTGCCCCCCACCGGACAGGCCAGCTCTTGTCATGTGCAGCAAATACACCCCAAACTGTCCAGGAAAACCACAACAGGAGAGTGAGACCTGATCAGAAACGATTGCACGTTTGTGTCGCTCTTACTGGAACACCACTGAGATATCACACAACAAAGGGAGGCTTCTGAGAAGTGACTTTGAATCTGTGCCGTCACCGGAGAGAATTGCTTGATCAGGTCTAACTGTAAGTCTTTAAAAGACAACAACACAAAGATGCCAGAAAACAAGACCGACTGGTTTCTTTCTTCAAAATGATTTTCTAAAAATAATAATTTAGTGTGTGTAAACAAAATATAAAGTGTACACAGCATACATTTTCTTTTCCTGTTTTCAAAGCAAACTAAAAAGCTAGAAAGGCTGATATACTGTTGATAGATTTTACACATCAGTTCTTTTTCATAAAGATGCAATAAACAGGATCTCAGTTTTTTTATTATCTACCCATTTGTATAGCCAACATCGCGCTGACATTTCATCTGACGCCATACACCAGTGCACATAAATCTGCATCAGAAATAGCAAGTGGTTTTTGCCTCAAGATGTAATCACCTTTTTCTCTTCCTCTCCGAGTCAGTTGACCTGGACTTGCCTTGGGGTGTTTTGGTGTTGGCAGATTTGGAGATACTGTCTTCTCTGCGCCGTTTGCTGTGTAAAACAGAGGATAAAATGTGGTTAGGTTCTGTTTTTCTAGGCACCGCATAGAACATCCCAGATCTGCTTTTACATATGTATTTAACCACTTTTGACAACTGCCTGTAAAATATTCTACATTTACTTTTTTTCTTTTATTCATTCCTAAAAAACTTATGTGTGCTGTATGAGAAACATGAATACTTACCAAAGTGTATTTTATATAAACTTATCCTATATTTCAAATTATATACCGCTAAAAATTATATACCGTTAAATTGTTTTGCTCCTCTTTTGTTTTTAAATCCAACACGAGTTTTAATCTATGATTCTCTAAATCAAAATACAGGTTATTGAATGCAAACATTTTGATTGCATGTTTGAGCTTCAGCATGGAGGCAGTTTGATCTACAAGCATAGATAAAATAGCTGAATCAGATTTTCTTATTGGCTGTCTGTTGTAACATGGCCGCCTCATTGTCCAGTCAATCTCTGATGGATCAGTGTGTCATGATGGTGAGAAGCTGCATGATCTTTGACGGTTGGTAGTGATAAACGTTTTAGTTTGCATTTTATGATCTGCTGTGTAACTATGCAAACCTTGGTTTTTAATTACCCAAGTATTTTTCATTATTTTTTACTTCATAACATCCAGTTTGGAGAGAAGCTGCCTCATTCATTGAAAGACATTCAGCCAAAGAGAAGCTCCTAATCCTAGTTCCACCAAGCCGAGGTGAAACTTTCGGAGCCAAATTAATCCAAGACCTGCAGGCAATCTTTCTCCCTCTCTTCAGCTCCTGCTCTGGTCCAGAAACTAGATGCTTCATTTCTTTCAACTTCGAATTAAGCTTTTAGAAACCTGCAAACCTATTTCATCAAACTCCAAGGAGTCCAGTAAACCTTGGAGAATCAGTTTTTCATTGTTATTTGGGAAAATTCTACCTGTATCAGCGCCTCAGAGGTAGTGATATGTAGTTTTCTACTTTTAAGTTTTGTTTGTCTTTTAAAAATACAGTTTAGACCATTTTAGAGAGAGTAGTAATTTTGCTCCTTTTATGCTTTAAGTTAAGACACAGAAGATCACCCAGTTTTAAGTTAAAAGCTTATCCTTTAAACATTTTTTCAATAAATTGTGAGACATTTATTTTCATTATTAAATATTATATAACATAGTTCATTGTTGCTACATAGATTAAGATTAAAGGTCAGCAATCCCCATCAGTTTATGTAACCGGAATTTGAATACTGACTGTGTTGTGCTGCCATCCAGTTCCTGTTCTTTGCAGGAAGACTGTGTAGGTACTTTGCTGTCCTGTCTGTAATCTTCTGCCTCCTCCTGCTGGCCCCCCCTTTGGGTCCTATTGTTACGCTCTGGCGGACACCGAGCCTGAGGTTCTGATGAAGGCGGAGACTCTGAAAATGGCTCGTGATCTTCTTCAGACAATTCACGCCATTGGTTCTACAGGCAGAGAAGTCATTTCAATAGAAGACATAGACATATCAACGTAAGACGTAAAAACATTGTTTATTGATATAGTAATCCACAATCTATCTAATCTACTGTCCATTTGGCCAGAATCTTAATCTTTTTACTGTATCTATGAGGGAAACTGAGGTACTGCAACTTCCCCTTGTAGGTCAGACACTCCATGTTCAAAAACTGAATTTTTGACAAAGAAACCCACAGACACTCTTAAAAATAAGAGTTTTTTGCCTATAAAACATGATGTTCCAACTATTAAACGGGTCCATTTGGAACTAGGGGCTCAGTGGTAGAGCCGGTACATCATACATGGAGGCTAGAGTCTTTGATGCAGGTATCTCAGGTTTAATCCCACTTCTTCCCTCACTTTCTCTAGGTTCCTTCCTGTCAACTTACTAAGGGAATGAACATCACTACATCTAAAACAATAGATAAAATAATCCTGAAATGACCAAAACCAAAAATGTAGTGGATTTCAAATGTAACATTTTAAATAAAATGTTGATTTATTTATTTTTTTCCGTGACATACAAGCTTATCAACACAGACAAAAAATATCTAAAACTGAATCTTGTCCTGTTAACTTATTTCTTAGCATTTACCTATTTAAACAGAAGCGCAATCCCTTCTAACTGGGAATCACATAAGAAAAATGAATTTATCACTGGTAGGTAACATTGATAAACTGCTTATATAAAACACAATAGAGTTTATTAAACCGTTTTCTGAACAGAAAACCTCATGCAGCAAATCAGAACCAAACATCACTCATGTTATAGATCATAAAATGTGTATCATAACCTGAAAATCAAAGGGATCTTAAGTTGAGGTATGAGTATTACCCCTACCTGTACAGAAGAGTCCCCCATGATGAATTTGGCTCCTTCAAGGACAGCCATGTAGGAAAATCGCAGCTGTTCAGGAGTCTGAATCAGACCCATGCGGTATTTTCTCATCTTTAACAAGATGTTTTTAATATCCACCGATAATGGGTCTTTCATTTTGTCCATCTAGAAAACAAAAGTACAATAACTTGGTTTAACTTTAAGGGAGGAACTTTGCGATGACTAAAAAGGAACACTCAAGATCAGTGCCGATTTATAATTTCAATAAAGCAATTAAAATAATGCAAGAAAATCTAACAAGGACAGATTACAGCTACCTATGGAAGAAGACTGACACAGTCTGATAACATTAAGTGTTTCATTTTATTAGACAGAAGAGATTCAACTTCAACTTCTGGAATACAACATGAAGACTAAGGAACAAAGCAGACAGGTCAGGGATGAAGTTGTAAAGTTAAAACCAGCTTTAGGGCAGTAAACAATATCCTACTCTTTGGTTGACCTTCTAGCATGATATGGTAGAGGTGCAAACCAACCAAGATGTAGCCGTCCACCTGAATCAACAGGCTGGTCAGGAGAGCGTAGCCAAAACGGCCACTGTAAAGATGGAGGAGCTGATTCGGCCCATAGCTGCTGATAGGTCGAATAATAGTTATACTCTCTATAAAGAGGTCCGAAGTCCAGAGTTAAATTTAAACTGAAAACAGATCTTCTAATAAATAATAAATCTGACTGATCAGGACCTTTTTTTTGGCAATATGTTATGGTTTGTTTGTTTTTGTTTTTTTTATGTGAACGCACTACCCCAACATTATATTATCTAAACCAGATACCAGTTTCATTTCCATTTTCATTTTAGTTTTTTTTCGTTTTGTTTTTATTTGAAATGTCTTCCACTTCCTTTTATTTCTGACCTACTAAACTAGATATCTTCCTGGCATATCTTTGAGATCTGAAGTTCAAAGCCAATGGTGGTTTCTAGGACTGAATTAGTGACTCAGGTCAGACAGGAATCTTAAATTAGAATAACTTTTATAAACTGATCTTTCACTCCAGAAAGCCTGACCAATTGCACTTATTGTTGCCTTTAAATGTTTAGAGCTGTACTTGTGTCCCTTTCAATTTTATGATTCTCTCATGTATTTCAATCATCTGTGCAGCACTATGGGTCCCTCATGGAATTTTAAAGCACTTTACAAACAAAGGTTTAAATGGTGTGGTTGCCTTAAGTGTGTGGGGAAGCCAGAGTCCTGAAATGACCTTAATAATAAACAAACCAACTATGAAACGACTTCTTTGTCCCATCTTGAAAGAGCAGGAGAATAAGAGCTAAACTACTGACATCTTAGGGAAGAACTGTTCTGTGAACTGTTATGTAAAATCATATTATTTAGAAAAATGTTTCATAAATATAATCTTTTTTTCTGGCAGTCGTTCAAGCAAAACCTTTTCTGACATTCAAAAAGCTACAGTAAACTAAGAAGTGCCTCCACCAGCTAATGTGTTTGGGTGAATATGAAAAGATAAACATTTATACCCTCAGAGGATCCAAGCAAATGCACTTACAAGGACGAGGCAGGTGTCCACTAGTGAGAACGTCCCTGAGCGTCCGATTCCAGCGCTGCAGTGCACCACAGCCGGCCCCTGATCCATCCCCAACGCTCCAGATTCCCGCACTTTAAAGAGGAAGTTTAGGAAGGATGCCGGGGATTCGGGGACACCGAAGTCAGGCCACGTGGTGTAGTGAAAGTGGTAGATCTCTCTCTTCTCCCCCGTCTATGAAAGGGAGAAAATTTGGAGCTAAAATTAGAAGCAGGAAATCTACTGCTGATTTCTATCAGTCCGTGTGAGGTTACAGAAGTCCTGTGAAGTGCAGAAATACTTTCAGTTTCTCCTTATTATCAGAACCCACATCTGATGGATATAGATGTTAAAAAAAAACTTTTGGAAAGTTTGTTTTAATGTTTGCTAAATGTTTAGCTTGGTCATAAGCATAAAACACAATTACATACACAAGTTTGTTTATTCTATTAGATAGGTTTGTTTTTTTTTTGCATTTTTTGCTAAACTTTATTTAAAAAATGTAACTCTCAAGGAGAAGAAAAATAAGATTTGAGCAAGATGTTTTATTTTGTCAAAATCAGACATGGTTAGCCTGCATTTATAATCAACCCTGTTTTGTCGAATGCATCTGCATAATATAATCCATTACAGCCAACAGCCATCAGATACCACACAGGTAGTAAACATAGTCACCCGTAGGGTAATATTTACTCAAGCTGAATGAGCTTCTCAATTAAGGTTTGTTGAGGAAACTGGTGAATAAACAGCATCATAAAGGCAGTGGAACACAGCGTACAGGTCAGGGAGAGAGCTATGTATAAAGTTAAATACACTGAAGTTATCATTTTAATGTGGCAAATTTAAAATGTTTAAGAGATATAAATATAGTTTAAACTAGCATACAACTGCACTTAAATTATTAAGAAATTTCTGGTTAGAACCCCTAAAATCCTACAACTACACTGTCACATCATCATCATCGGCATCATTAACGACATTCACACAACAGGTTTAAAAAGGTTTAGAAAAACAGGCTGTTTTGTTTCAATATTGTAATGTTATAATATTCAGATCAATGCAAATCAAATATGTGTGGTAAATAAAAAACAGAAACCTACATTAATGTTCTGTAGCTGCAGCACTCTGGTGGTGTAGTAAGATTTGGTGTCTTCTGACAACAGCTTGACCAAAAAACGTGTGTCTCTAAAGACCATCTCTCTCTCCTCTGCTGTAGGCCAGTACTGAGCACACTTTTCCTACAGAGAAATTACACATATATGTTTTAATGAATGGTGCAAATAAAAATAAACTTCAGAATAAAATATATGCTGACAACAAACAGGAGAATGCATAGGAAATGTTTAGCCAAGCTATACCAAAAACAACAGAAGTTTTTTTATGTGACACAAGTACAAACCTAAATCTACTCAAGTACACCTTCAAATGAAGCAGTTTTGTATAAAAAGAGAGTGACCTGAAAAGAACTGCAAACATTTGAGCATTTAGTCTGGAGTTAAACCAGAGGTCAGGTCTATAATAAGACACGAAACAGGAACAAGAATATATTAAAAGGGTAAATTATTCAAGAAATCTTGTCAATGAAAAAAAAAAAAAGAGAGAGATAAAAAACAGATTAGATTCCCTTTTTTTGCAGTCATCTATTAACTAGGTGCTCTTTATCATCCATTTCCAAGAAACAGTCATCAAGCAAATCTCATGACAAAGCGAGAGCCAATTCAGCTGCTTTACTGAGAAAGATCACAGCTGTGCTGCCAGGAAAAGGATTTAATCTGCAGTATGCAGGATCCACTGGAGCTCCAGGAGGCAGATATGATACATCTCTCTATTGTTGTTTAAACAATCTACAAATAGGACAATCAAAACTGAGGTTTCATGATTTTCCAGTTGGATGGACAACATTTGGAAGGTGTGAACTGGAGTGAGACAACTTGACAATATAGCTGTAGTCTGTATCATGTTAGATACCAGAATCTCTGCATGGGCAGAGATTTTTTCCTCCATTCTGTACTCACTGATCCCTTCTCTATCACCCTGTTGAGCATGATGACGGCCTTCGTCTTCTGCTCCCAGATCATGAGCCAAAAGTGGCCACAAGTGTTCCTGAGGGGGCCCTGTGGACAAAATAAACAGTACAGTTAGATGCGATGTTTCTCCAATAAGCAATGCCATTATCTATACTTGTTAGCTGCAGAAGCAACCTTCTCACTTTGAGTGCTTTTCAGCAGTTTAATAAATCCACTGCATGTACAGAATATATGCAGTGTAAAATTCAACTCGAAAATTTTTTTTGTTAGTTTCTTTTGTTTAAAATCATAGCCTTTGCCTTTTGGCAGTGGTAAAACCTCCATGCAAATATTATATGATTTCATGAGGGACTACTTGACAACATTTGCAGATGTATATTCCATAACCAGCACTGACACTGCAGTTGAAGTACACATACACATAAAACCCCAGTGAAAGTAATGGTTCAGGGTTTTTTTTTTTTTTTTGCTGGATAAAGGCCAGAACACACCAAATCCCATTTTGCGTCTGATCAGACAGAAAATTGTGTCGGATGGGGTCATGACGTTCAGCGCTCATTAAAAGTCAAAGGAGATGATCACACCCGACACGATTTTACGCAAAGGGGCCTGCATAGGTCCGACTGATAGACCCCAGGTCTATTTTAGTCAGACTATGCAGCAATTCGGCAGTTATTTCATGGGTCTGAAAGTAAGAGTAAAACACATCCTCTTTGGGGGAAAATACAAAAAAAAAAATCCGTTAATCACACAGGGAAACAGTCAGTTTTGAAGTTGCACATTGTGTATATAGAATACCTATGATAGTAGTTCAGGAGGACAGAAAGTGCACTTTATCAATCTCCTCGGAAGAAAAAATTGAGAAACATTGTATTTCTGATATAGTCTAGGCATATGAACCTTTACTGTCTGTTCTGGTTAGAAATGCTGAACAGGCTCGTTAAGTGGAGCTTTGTCATAGAATGCGCTGGTGGTTTTTAATAAATTTTTCTAAATAACTTTTCATAATCTGTCCAAGTCAAATGTGGGAAATTGTTTTCATTTTTGTGGCACAGAGATAATAAAATAAGTCTGCACAGATCTGCCCACCCTGCCTAGATTCTCTGTATGCAGTCCGTGTGACATGGAAAAAAAAATTGGATCGGAGATTTAAAAGTCATATGCAGCCGGTGTGTTCTAGCCTTAAAGGTTCAGGATAGGGTGGTGCAAACATACCTTCTGATATCTACGCAAAAAAAAACAAACAAAAAAAAAAACTTAACAGGTCATGGTGTGGTTAAGCACACTTGAGATTTATGTAATAAAAATAGTTATTATTGATATTCAAACATTTACATTTTTTCCCAAACAGATAATCAAAACACAGTTTGGGAAAAACTACAGTGGCAAAGAGAAGAAGATACAGATAACACTAAAGACCACAGAGATACCTGCAATATTTACACTGTACTACTTAAGGAAAATATATATAAAAGGGATTTCCTTTTAAAGCAAATAAACAGTTTCTTTTTAGTCAATTTCTCCTCTTTTACTGGACTTTAACCACTTACACAAACCACCGATGACTCATTTCAGAAGAACGCACAAATGTTGAAAAAAAAACAAAGGAAAGAAAAGGGCTGCCAAACTGGGTCAAGTTACCCCACAGATTTTATGAGAAATATACCACAAAATATACCACATTAATGTGACATATTCAAAAGAAAATGTTTTAATAAAAGATGAACTTGAAATCGAATGAATAAATAGAAAATAATCTTAAAGCAACACTGCATAAGTGTCATTTAAAAAAATGAAATTGTCTAGAGAGCTGTTCTTAACGAAATTTCTTTTTGTTTACACTTGTGTACACAAAATGACAAAATAAATCTGTCTAAGCCTAAAAAGTCTGAGCATAACTTTTGACCACACTATTAGCTTAATTTGAGATGTATTTCATTATTTTTCAGATAAAGGTGTAGAACTTGGTGTATGTCGATGCTCCATTCAGGCAGTTTTTCTCAAAAACTTGCTTTGTAACCTAAGAGGGTCAGATCCGTCACTGAATGAGTCATGTGACCTAAGCACAGTCGTCACAGAAACAACTTGAATCTGAAAAAGCCAAGGCACATCTTCAGGTTCACTGATGGAAAAATGAAACTTATCAAGAAAAGAGCACTGTCTCTAATGTTAAACAAGGAGGCTCTGTTATGCTCCGGGGCTGTGTTGCTTCATCTGGCACAGGGTGTCTTGAATCTCTGTAGGGTACAATGAAATCTCTAGACTATCAATTGCTCTAGAAGGAAATGTGCTGCTCATGTAAGAAAGCTTTGTCTCAGTTGCAGGTCATTGGTCTTCAGAATACTTATTCACAACACACAGATAAAAACACCCAAGAAAGGCTAAGAGTAAGACGCTGGACTATTCTGAAGTGGTCTTCTATGAACTAAATTCTGTTGAGAATCTTTGGAGGGAATTGAAACGTGCCGTATGGAAAAGGCTCCCTTCAAACCTGAGATAACTGGAGCAGTTTTCCCATGAGGAGCCAGAACTGAAATACCTGCTGAGAGGTTGTGTAACAAAATGTTAATTTATGGGCGCCATCATTTCTGTCCATTTAATGAGTTTATTTTCTAAACCATTCTGTTGAAAATGGTTGAAAAACAATGTCTGGCTTTCATGTTGTTATTTTAATAGAATTTTATTTCTTCTTATTTTTTTTGCAAGATTCAAGTTATTCCTGTGACCATTGTGGGTTTTTTCCTTCATAAAAACAGTTTTCTTCACACTTGTATGTACTAGAGAATCAACAAATTCAGGGGAAAACAATTATTTTAGATAAAATGCCAAGAAGTCATACACATTTTTTTACCAGGTGGTGATAGAAACTATTTATTAAAGATTAACAGTTATAGTTTGTCAGTTTAACTCCAAAAAATAAGGTATTTCAATGCTACTACTTTTCAAATTAAATTCTAGAGATAAATTAGTTTATATTATTTTTGCAATTTCAGACCAGAGTAACAGATTTAGTTCATTTATAAAATTGCATAATGAAATTGTGAAACAAGAATGAAAATATCATGAAAGCCTTAAATACAAACCTTCATTCAAATAAGCAGTTATTTTAAAACTATAATAATTTTTTGGCTTAAGTGTTACTTGCCTGTGTTAAAATGTAATTTCTCTGGGCGTCTTCCATGACCACCAGACTTGCGTTGATGTAGTCATTTTCTGTGTTTTCCAACTTGACTCGACTGTGATCAACTGCAGGGCGAAGGGGGAAAAAAATATATCTTACCACCAGTTATAAATCAACAGATATGGTTAAGAGATTTAAACAGGCAAGGCAAATGTTTACCCACATGGACTGACATCTCTGTATCTGTTGCGGTTGCGATTTTCTGGATACTTTGCCACTTTGTAAGAGCACTCATGGGATTGATTCCTGATTTCCTGAACACCAGAAAAATGGTTTCACATTTAAAAACACAAAAGGAAAAAATAAAATTCAATGCTAAAAGTTATGTTTTTATTCTATTACTTTAGGACCAAATACAACACCAGCATCACATCTTAAATTTTAACATCCCATAATCATTAAGAAAAGCATTAACACAATATTCCAACTTAGTTTCATTGTTCTGAGTTTTTACCTAATAGTTCCCCTTTCAAACTTATTTTAGGTACTATATTTACAACAATTTAATTTGACTAAATTTATTCCATCATCTAAATACTACATTTTTTGTTTGTTTTTTATTTAAAAAAAGAAACACATTTTGCAATTTCTGGCCTGACCAAACTCTTCCGTCCTTCAGAAAATTGGAAATTGTTTCCGTAATCTTCAAATTTAAATGTTTGCAAGCGAATAAATTTTTTGAATCTGCAAATGTTTTGTCTTGTGATTTCTTTACTTATATTTTGATATAACAAACAGAAACAATTAGCTGAATAAAGTTGATTATATAATATATATATATATATATATATATATATATATATATATATATATATAAAACAATTAATGAGATTTATTCTACCTAAAAGAGAGATTAATTCTAACAAAAAATGTTACAACTCATGTTAGGTCAAACTTCTGACTAAAACTTGACATACATATAATTTTTATCTTTAATGTGATTTTTTTTTTTTTGTAATCACAAATATGAGTCATAGTTAATAATTCATATAATTTCCAGCCAAAGCTGTGCTGAAACATGTTGCTAGACATCAGTCACAGACCAGTTGGACAAAGCTCACAGATTGTTGTGTAAACAAAATCAGACAACTTCACGCACTCAGCTGGCCTTCCTTAGACAGACGGCCCTTTCACAAATTGGCATCATATGATTAATTTCTTTTTTCTCCTCTATCACAATGTTGATCTATGCAATACCTAAATGGAAACAGACACACCGTTTGTTAAGTGTTTAAACTCTTCATTGCCAACAGTGTATTTGACCACTCTACCGATTTTACCATATTTTGTGCAAACAAGAGGGAAAAGTACTGAGACCCTGCTACTGACAGAAATACACCACAAAGGTGGATCAGAGCTATCCTTACCAAACCTATGAAGACCCAGCTCTTCAGGGACCATCTCTACTGCCCTCTTTGATTATGCACATTACTTGCACAGTCCTCTCCGTTACCTCTGACAAAACTTTAGTACAGGTCTTTCCTCCAAGTAGCTTATCTCTACCCCACTGACACCGGTGAACATCCAGGGAACAGACATTGAGATAGTGGACTCGTTTGAGTACCTAGGTGTTCATTTGAATAACAAACTGAACTGGACTCACAATACTGATGCTCTGTATAAGAAAGGTTGGAGCAGACTCTTCCTGCTGAGGAGACTGGGGTCTTCTGGAGTGTAGGGGGTGCTCCTAAGGACCTTTTATGACTATACTGTGGCATCAGCCATCTTCTAAGGCTGTCTGTTGGAGCAGTGGCTTATCTGTAGCTGAGAGAAAGCGTCTGGATAAGCTGATCAGAAAGGCCAGCTCTGTGATTGGATGCCCTCTGGACTCGGTGCAGGAGGTAAGAAACAAAAGGATCCTAAATAAATGAACATGGATGTCTCCCACCCCATGCATGAAGCTGTTGCAGAACTGTAGAGCTCCTTCTATGAAAGACTGCTGCACCTTAAATGCACCAAGGAGCGTTATCACAGATCCTTCCTCCCATCAGCTGTAAGACTTTAAAACCACCACTGTTCCCAGCAGCCTCAATAAGTTGTTACATTCATTCTGATTTTGCAGTTTCTACCTAAATCAGTTAAATAACATGATGCTGTCATTTTGCACATCTCAGATGTTGTTGCTATTTTCAAACATCCATTACAGTAAAAATGTCCATAGCTGTATAATGTTTTTATATTCTCCAGGTGCACCGTTTTTATATTGTTAAAACACGTTATAGTACAGTATTTATGTTATGTTATTGTTATATATTTTTCTAAGGTCCACATTTGTATGACCATGTTTTCTATAATCTTTTTGCTGTTGTAAACACCAGAATTTCCCCTTTGTGGGACAATAAAGGGGTTTTCTATTCTATTTTCTATTCTGTGATATTTAACTTTAATATTGACTGAATTATATTTATATCTGTTAGTTTATTTGAACAGAAATGTATTCAAAATGAAAAAGAGTGAAAAAAAAATTATTAACAACTAAAATTTCCTAGTATTTAATGTTTTTCTCCCTAATCTCTAGCATCCCTAACCTTTAACTGTAGTTCAATTCCCCCACTAAGAGAGGACAGCTTATTATACTCTAGGATCAAACTGTATTAAGTTAATAATAATCAGAGTAAACCACAGTAAAGTAAACTTTTTTAACTTTAGATTGAGTTACAGGACGATTAATTTGACTTTTATAATCGTTTGACATGTAATCTGCATTGAGATGACATTTGTTTTTAAATCGCCTCAATATAAACTAGTTAAACTGAATACTAAATTAGGCTATTTGTAACCCTGATAAACGAAACCTAAATGCACCTTACTCATTTTTAGCCTACGTCTAAAACTAATAATGGCTTATTTACTTTAACGGATTTAAATCAAAGTAGTCATCAATGAAATTGTAAACAAAAAATGCTTACAAAACAACGGGGGGGGGAGGTAACAATCTAAAAACACTCAATTCAATAACAAAACTAGACAAAACAAATTATAGCGTTGATCTTGAGTAGTGTAGAATGAAGGAAAAACATGCAGTTAATTACAAAGGGCTAAAGCCCGTACGCTCAGCTTAAGCTTCGTCTCAAGACACTACGCTTAATATTAAGTGATAATATAAGCCTTAATTATCTTGTAATAGAAGGAAGTTAAATGAGACAAAACAAAAAGTGAAAATACAACTATAGACACCAGCGTCACAGTCGGTGTAGGCAGCAAAATGCGCGCTATCAGTACAAGCCGTGTTAGCTCCACGCTAGCTAAGCTAACACACTTACAGAGTAAAGCTTCTGCCACCGGCCTTTAGAGTCCATGTCTTCAAACTCTTGGTCCATGTTCACAGTGGCAGCGCCTGTCTGTTCCATCCGAAGTCGGTTTTGTTTTATGTTTTTTAACTATCTACCTCATAACGTTGTCCGAGTAAGATGAGTCTTTAATCTCAGACTTAAGCCTTCCTGCGTTAGCAGCGGCTTCTATGCCGACTCTGTTAGTCCGTTATGTGGTGCAGTTGTCATTCGGGAACAGCCCCGCGCGCATGCGCATCTGAAAAGTGTCAAACAAGTAAATTGGAAATTGCGTTTCATTTCCGGGATTCGACTCATTTGGTTCCGTTCACCAAAATGAACTGTGTTAGGATGTGTAGGGGGCTAGGACAAAGCGTTTTGTTAAAATAATTATGTCAATAAGGTAATAACTATATTGTTAAAAATCTGTGATTAAAAGTATCATTATTGGATTAGCTATTTCGAAGAGAACATTGAATTGGTCCTTAAACATTGTGGACTGAAGCTCAGAAGATTAATAATGATAAATCATATTTCTAAACATTTTCTTTAATTTTTATATGCTTTGAGTTTCAACACTGGCTCTTAAAATTTTAATAGCATGCATTTATCAAACATGCATACAACTGCAGAGTAGTTTAGAGTAGAGTAGCCAAAAATTGTACTCAAGTAAAAAATGCACTACTTCACAATTATTTTACAGAATTAAAAATAAGTAGTAGCCATCCAAGAAAGTACTAAAGAAAAAAATAAATAAATAGAAATACTGTATTTGATAGGAAGGTCACTCAAGTAACTGATAATAACACCTGATTCATATTTAAAAATGATATAGTAGCCTTAAGCAGAGAAAAATACCAAATATAATTTTACAATTGGCAGTCAAATACTGCCAAAAGTATTTGGTCATCTAATAATACATTTATATGAAATTTCTTCTACATCCTATTCTTTATTTATAGGGTCACTTTTGCTGGTGGAACCCCACTCCCACCAGAAGAAAAAAATCGCTATTCTATAAAGATATACCTCAAGGTTTGTGGAGGGGTTTATATTTACTGTATATGTGAAAACTCAAATTCAGTGCTCCACACTGGTTCATCTTAAATGTGGTCTATATAGTTAAGGTCAGGACTCAAATTGCTGTACACTAAACTGTATCCATCAGCACCCATGGAAGCGAATAGTATGCCCAAACAACATAGCTTGAGTAGAAATAAATAAGTCTCCCTTTAAGATTAATTGTAAGTGTGTGTCTCTACTGCTGCAGTTTGGCCAAAAAACTATTTTCTTTATTCATTGAAGTATTGCACATAGGTTAGTGTAGCCAGAAATTTGGCTTAAGCTGAAATTACAATACTTTGAAATAATACAATGTAATTAAAAAAATAGAAAAGTACAGTTCAGCAAAACTATTCCTAAAAGTAATTTATTTTACAAAGTTTCTCACGTAAATATAACTGAGTAAATATAATAAGTTACTTCCCACATCTATATTCAACATGAAAGCACAATCATGTATTTTATTGAGATATCTGTATAAAAAAAAAAAAATTGTAAAAGCCTTAGTTTGAACTATGGATCATCGGGTGGTCTTGATTGATTGATTGATTGATTGATTGATTGATTGATTGATTGATTGATTGATTGATTGATTGATTGATTGATTGATATACTTTATTGATCTCACATTGGAGAAATTCACTTGTCACATCGCCTCTATAGTCAAAAAGAAGGTGTCAAAAACAAGGAAAACGTGCATGAGGTATATAAAGTATATGCAGTACGTCCACACACACACACACACACACATATATATATATATATATATATATATATATATATATATATATATATA